CCCTGGGTGATGGGCCCAGACCCCTGTGGAGGGAGTCACCGGGCCTCTCACCTGCCAGCACGGCCTGTAAGAGCTGCGAGCGCCGCCTCACCGGCTCAGCCCGGCGGGCTGACTGCGGCCACCCTCTGTTCCAGGATCATCCAGCAGCTGGTGAACGGCATCATCACTCCCGCCACCATCCCCAACCTGGGCCTGGGCCCCTGGTGAGTAGGTGGGCGTTCCCCTCGCCCTGCACCCTGCTCAGCCCCTCTGCCGCTTGAACCCCGACCTCTCTGCCCAGGGGTGTCCTGCACTCAAACCCGATGGACTATGCCTGGGGCGCCAACGGCCTGGACGCCATCATCACGCAGGTACGGGTGGGCCTCCCCGAGGCGGGCCTGGGCGTCTTTCCTCCTAGAGGTGCGGTGCTTGCACAGACCCATGCCAGCCAGGGCTGTGCTCCCCGGTCACCCCAGTGCTGACAGGTTGTCCCTGAACGCCCCATCCTAAAGTAGGGCATGCCTCCCGGTGGCTTCCGCCGCCGTTGGCCATTCCCAGAGCATGTAGGGGCTGCCTCCCTCGGGGTCCCACTCGGGGTGTCTTGCCAACAAGCCCTCAGAGACCCAGCTACCTTGTAGCGGGTGTGCAGGCCCGGGGAGGACGCCCAGTGTTGGAGAGGCGGGAGCCCCTGGGGTGCTATTGCAGGGCCATCGCTCACCTGCCTGCTCAGTGCTGAAGGATGAGTAAGAACCCAGGGCTGGACCATGTGTGCTCGCTGACCGGGGGGCAGGGGAGGGGGTCCAGCGACCAGGGCCAATGCAGCTTCCGGACTCTTGCAGGTGACCCCGTCCTGTGTTTCTGAGCCCTGTGGGCCAGGGCCCCCCACCACCCCAGCCCCAGCATGCTGGCCTCTTGTCTTTCAGCTCCTCAATCAGTTTGAAAACACAGGCCCCCCGCCCGCAGACAAAGAGAAAATCCAGGCCCTTCCCACCGTCCCTGTCACTGAGGAACATGTAGGTAAGCGCCCCGGGCCACTCAGCTGCCAGCCGGTTGCCTTCCACGACTTTCCACGGAGGAAGGTCTGCGAGGGGGGACTCCCAGCCGTGTCCCCTCTGTCCCCGGGACACACCCACCCCTGTGCCTTGGGTGCAAGGTGGCCCAACAGCCAATCCCCAGAGGGGTGGCCACTGGGCGGGGCTGCGGAGGGCCCCAGCCCGGCGTGCCTGGGCTCCGGCGCTGAGCAGCTGTCCCGCAGGCTCCGGGCTGGAGTGCCCCGTGTGCAAGGACGACTACGGGCTGGGCGAGCGCGTGCGGCAGCTGCCCTGCAACCACCTGTTCCACGACGGCTGCATCGTGCCCTGGCTGGAGCAGGTAAGCGGCGGCAGGCTTGGGCGCGCCCCCCCGCCCCCCCCGCTGCTGAACTTCCCTCTCCCCCTCAAGCACGACAGCTGTCCCGTCTGCCGGAAGAGCCTCACGGGACAGAACACGGCCACCAATCCTCCTGGCCTGACCGGCATGAGCTTCCCCTCTTCCTCCTCATCCAGCTCATCCAGCTCGCCCAGCAACGAGAACCCAGCCAGCAGCTCCTGAGTCCCTGAGGCCCCAGAGTGAGCCCAGCCCAGCCCGGTGCGGTCAGGGTGCCAGGGGTCGGGGCACCAGGGCCCACCCACCTGTGGCTCCCATGCCACCGCACCATGGACTTCGTGCCGGCCATGCCACGGCCACAGGCAGAGGCTGGAGGACCCGCCGCCCCCAGGGTGCAGAGGGGCGCTCGGCGCTCGGCCCCCACCAGGACGTCTGCCCGGGCCAGCATTGGCGCCGCGCCTCACCAGCTCCCGCCGTCCCATTGTCTAACCTCTCCCTCCACGTGTTCAATGGTGGAAAGGTTTTTATAATTTTAAATTATTACTGCTTTGGAATAAATGGACGTTTGGCTCACATGCGGCCGTGCACGATCTGTGGGTGGGTCGCTCTTCACGGTGCCCCCGACGGCCCCTGCCCCGCTTGCCCCCAGCACGGGAGGCCTGGGGCCACCAGGATGACCAGCAAAACCAGGAACAAAACTGCTTGACAGACTTTTTTAAAGGAAAAAATATGTGTATCTTGAAAGCTATTTAAAAATACACCTACTTAGAAAGAAGCAGGTGGTTGGCGTCTTCCTTCTGCGCCGGTGTGTCTGGGCGCACGTGGGCACCTGGCCAGCTGCCACTCTGGGGCAGTGCCATCCCAGACTGCCCCAGCCCCGATGTCTGCAGCCCTGGGAGCCTCGGGAGCAGCGGGCTGGACGCAGTGGCCGGTTGCCCCGGGTCCGCGGCGCGCGAGGACGCCCCTCCGGCAGCAGGGGTTTCTCAGATCCTGAAGACCCCAGTCGGGCACCCGCCAGCGTAGATGTGGGGAGGCACTTGCTCGCTGGCCACCCCAGGCCACTGGCGGGTTCTGACCTGGGCCAGAGCCCCCGTCCTGACAGCGCCGGCCCTGCATGAGAGCTGAGGAGGAGGCTGCTCACAGCCGCTGCCCAGCCCTGCGGCGGCTGCGTGCTCAGCGAGGCCTGGACGCCGACACCACGTTCATCGCCGCAGTCCCGGGCCGGGTGACAGCCGAGGACTGAAGCCCGGTGTGGGCAGGCTGGCTCCTCGGAGGCCCCGAGGGCAGCCCGTGAGAGGCGCTGCCCTTCGGGCTCGAGTCCTTCCGTGGCGGCCAGCAGCGCAGCGGGCTGTCTTGATCTTCTGTTCCCCTTCTGTGCACCCTGCCAGGAGTCGGGGTCCTGCCCCTCCCCTCAGCTCAGTCCCACCTGCAAAGTTCCTTCACCACTGAGGTGACACTTCCCCAGGTCCCGGGACCAGGGTCTGTTACACCTGCTTTGTTCATATCGCTTTCACCCTCAGTCCCCAGAACCCCGACCTTTTTTAGAGACCCCATTGCTCCATCCCAGCCTCCCCCACCTTCTGTTGCCTCAGACACTCCAAAACGTTCCCATCTCCGAGTCTGTGCCTTGCTTGTGCCCAACCTGGCCCATCCTCAGACCTTCCAGTGACCGCATAGCCTTGTCCTCCAGTCGCCAGCCGGGTGGGCCTCGGTTCAGCCCAGTGTGGACACACACTCAGATGGGAGCTCTCCGAGTGCCAGGCCATGTCTGGGGGTGTCCCGGCTTGACCCCAGGGCCCCACACGCAGAAGGCACTCAACACTTGTGAAACGAGCCAGAGACCAGACGGAGGGGCTGCCGTCGCCGGGGCCGCCCCCAGCCCCCAGCTCCTGGCCGCCCGCCTGGTCCTGGCGGCATCCAGAATCTCCATCCAGCCTTTCCTCGCAGCCCCTTGGGACGTCAAGAAACCAGTACCGGCAGGAAGTGGGTGGACAGGTGGTGCTGGTGAGTCCGGCCTCCCCACCGCGGGGTGCCCCGCCTGTCCAGCGCCAGGAACATGGGCCGGCCACGGCTGCGCCAGCGGAGTGAGGCATAGGTGTTGAAGCCATTCTCCTCGATGCGCTCCCGGAACCTGCAGTGCACGGTGTAGACACGCTGCGGGGGCACGGGCAGGTGAGGTGGCCTCCGGACCTGCCCGCCGGCAGTCTGCCCTCTGTCGGGCCCCGCCTAGCCTCACCCCCCGGCCCGCCCGCTGCCCACCTGCGTCCACCCCATCTACTTACTGCTCACATGCCCAGCACGCCCGCACACTCACCGACCCGTAGAGGTGGCCCCGGCGGTTCATGGCCACGTAGAAGCCGGTGTGTACAGCCTTGAGGGCCACGACACCCACCTGGACGGAGCGAATCTCAATAATACCTGCGGGAGAGGTCAAGTCGGCTCTGGCCCACCACCTGCTTGCTGCTTCCTTCCTCTCTCCCTTGTGTCGGTCCCAAGTCCCTGCACTGGGTGTGGTGACACACCTGGGACTGCCTTGGGCATGTGGGAGCTGGTGGGGATGTGGGGGGCCCTAGCCTTTCCTTGAGGGAGCCACAGTAAGCTCTGGAGCGGAAGAGGGCTTGGGTTAAGTCAGGGCAGGGAAACCAAGCTGCAGGAGGCTGGCACCTGCCTGGGCGAGCTGCTGATTTCTGTAAGGATAAGTAGAGCGCAGCATGCAGACCGCTAATCCTGGCCATGCCCACGTGAGCCTGCCCGGGGCTCACGCTTCACACCTGTCTTGTGTGTGGTAAGGAGGTGGAACTCCAGGCACGCTGCCCCACTACCACGCACAGCAGCCCAGAGGGCTGTGCGTCACCTCCCGGGGGCCACAGACATGCAAAACGGCAGGGCCAGTCTTGGTGGGTGACCCCAGGCAAGCTCCGCCCTTCTCCGCTGACGTGTCCTGCGCAGAGATAGCCACGGCCCGCGCTTCAGCCCCACTTGGGTACGGAGCCGGTCTGGTCTTCCGGACTCAGTGCCTGAGGCGCCGGGGGCTCAGCCCAGGCCCCGTGGGTCTTCGCACCTGCTATTCCCTTGGCCAAACACCTGGCTACTCCACAGATGAGGTTCGGCTCAAGCCTCCTCCTCCGAGGAGCCCCTGACCCCTCCAGTAGGGTCATCTCCCATAGGTTGCCATTTCCTTTCCTCTGCACCCCACGTGGCCCTCTCTGAAACTACGCCGCTGCTCGCTAGTTTGACGCCCACCCTCGGCCTGGGAGCCCCGTGGGTGGGTTGTCTCAAACGCTGTTTCGTCTCCCTGCCCCACAAAGCACACAGCCAGTGGCTTAACAAAGGAGCGAACCCCCCACGCCCTACCCGCCCAGATCCGCCCATCGCTTGTCACCACCACTGCTGCTCAGATCGGGAAACTGAGGCCCAGAGACACACAGTGACTGTATCAGGTCACCCAGCAGTGCCAGGCCTCACCCCCAGCCTGAGGCCATCCTGCCTGGCCAGCCGAGCCCACAGCCTGTGGACCGGCCTGGCCAGTCGCTCGCCATTGTCCTCATCGGGCGAGCCTAATGAGGGCCTTGGGAGCGCCAGATGAAAGCAGCTGGGAAGGCAGGGGTGATTATCTGTCCTAATGGTGGTGATTCAGGCGGTGGCCAGCCATTAGCTTGGGCTCCCCGGCTCCTCCGGCCGGAACCTCAGAGCTGCGGGGAGACTGCGACGGGTCATCATGACCCTGGTCTCCCCGCTGCCACGCCACCTTTCTGTCCCTGCGTCTCTTCTTGCCTCACACATTTAATAAGCGCCTGCTGTTTGCTGGGTGGGGCGGCAGGGACAGTGACTCCAGCTCCAGGTTCTGGGCATCATGGAGTCACAGCTCCAACCGCCCCCTGGCAGTGTGACCCAGGGCAGCTCATTTCCCCTCTCTGTGCCTCAGTTTCCTTCCGCATCAGCCAAATGGGTGTCTAGGGGGAGAGTGGTCCCCAGCCTAGGCAGGTGAGGCTGGCTGGCACCGTGGGACATGCAGCGCTCAGGCCCTGGGTCAGAGGGACAGAGCCGGGGGCCCTTCCTGGGCCCCCGAGAATGGGCCCAGACACCCACTCTCAGGATAAGCCCCAAGACCGTTCTCTGCTGCCGAGCGGTGGAGCTGGTGACCGCCTCTCGACCCTTGCTGCCTCTGGCCAACGCCCCAGCTGTGGGCTGGGCCCATCCTACAGTTGAGGAAACTGAGGCCTGGGGATGCTTCCCGCGACCAGCTGGCACGTTACTGTTTCCCTTGCTTCTGTCCCCCGAGGGACCCCGCCCCCGTGGTCCCCGGCATACTCACTGTCAGGGCTGTGGCGCCAGCGGGTGCCCTGCACTCGACCGCTGGGGTCCACGCACAGGAAAAAGTGGGTGGAGGAGAAGAGGCGCCGCCAGCGCACGTCGCCCTCCAGGTGTGGGTAGCTGCGCGGCCTCCGCGGACAGCTTGGGGTCCCCGCGGCGCTGGGCGCCCGTGCCAGCAGCAGCCACGCTAGGCCCAGCCACAGGCGAGGGCGCATGGCCCGCGTCCCGCTCGCCGCCGCTCGTGCCTCCCCGCGCGCGTCGGCGGCTCTGTCTTTGCGGGGGGGCGGAGCGTCCGACCGGGACCGCCCCTCGCGGGCCAATAGGGCGCCCCGGGGGTGGGTCCCGCGCAGCTAGAGGCGGGCCAGGGTGCGGGGCGGGGCAAGACCCAAGAGCCGACCAATGAATCGCCGGGAACTGGCCAATGGCGCGCCTCGGGCGGGGAGGCCGCGCTGTGGGGGCGGGGCTTCGAGCGGTCGGGGGCGGGGCCAGGGCGCAGGGCGGGGCCCATTCAGGAACGTACTCTCCAGCCTCCACGCGTGTTTGTTTGTCTTGCGGGGCAGGGTGGGGAGGGCAGTGCCTGTCGGTGAGTCACTGGGTTGGCCTGCAGGGTCTGCGGGGGTGTAAGTGTGAGAGGGGCTGGGGCAGAGCCACGGAGGGAGACAGAGATAGAGACAGACACGTAGTGCGAGACGGAAATCAGAGACACGGGTGAGAGACGTAGAGACAGAGAGGTAGGTAGAAATTGAATGAGGCAGAGAGATACCATAAAACAAGAACAGACAGAAAGGGGGGTGGGCATCAGAGGTTGGGATGGAAGCTGTGAGCAGGCCCATGGATTGGGTACTCCCAGGTGGGACTGGTCAGCACGCCAAATTAGAGCGGACTCAGGGGCTGCCCCAAGGGCAGGGTCTTCACTGAGGGGTAGGACGTCAGGGAACTTGGAGGTGCCGGGCAGGAAATGGTTTGGGGACAGCACGCACAGCCTTTGGGCAGTTGGGCTCATGGGGTGCGGTAAGTGGAACAGTGGCTAATTCTAGGAGGGGCATGTGGGTGCGTCCATTCTAGCTGACAGGGACACAGACTGTGACCTTGACCAGCAGGCCATCCTGGGCCTCCCGGGCTGTACTTCCATGGCGGCAGGTGTGAGGTAGCCCCTTTACACCCAACCTGCTCATCATTTACACACACCAGAGTCCCACTGGGAGCTGTCTGAGCTCTGAGGCCACAGTGAATAAATAGGCAAGGAAACTGAGGCCCAAGAGGCCCCACACAGGACACGTCAGGCCTCCTAGCTCCTGCCCCTCTTCTCCGACCAGTCTGTGGCCTTGGCCTGCCCTAAGTGCTGGAGGGGTAGCTAGTCTGGCTGGACACCAGAATGCCTTACTGGTGGCCCTGGGGGTATTCAATTCCCTCTCCTTGCCCCAGGAGGGTAACCTGTGGGGGAGTGGGGGGCACACAGGGGATGTGGCGTGGAGTGCAGTATGCAGACACCTTCTGGCCCAGCCAGAGATTTGGGTCTTCCCTTCCTCAAGCATTCACCTGTCCCCTAAAAGAATTATCTTCAGGTCCCCTGAAGATGGGATTGGACCAAAGCCTGGGAACTGTCCTGCTCTGCTGTTGGAGTTTACTAACAGTTCCATTGAGATAGAATTGACAGGTCACACAAATCACTCACTTAAAAGTGTAGCACTCAGTGTTGCAGTCTACTCAGATTTGTATGACCACCACCTCTACCTAATTCTAGAATATTCCATGACCCTCCAAAGGAAGCTTCACTCCTATGGAAGTCTCCCTTGTTCCCCTCTCATAGCAGTGTCACTGTGTATCATTGTCTGTGGCTGTCCTGGACATTCTTCTCACCAGTATGCTCACACACTGCAGGCCTTGTGTTTCTGGCTTCTTTCCCTGAGCGTGCTGTTTTCAAGGCCTGGCCATGTTAGTGTGTGTTAGTCTCCTTCCTTTTTCATGGTTAAATGATGTTCCATTGTGTGGATGGATTACACGTGTTTATCCATTCATTCGCTGATGAACAAGAGTTGTTTCTACTCTCCTTGTTATGAGATGTGGATATAAATGTACATTTCACTTGGGTTCAGAACTCAGAATGAAATTATTACACGGTAACTCCACGCTGAACCTTCAGAGGCACCACTGACTATTTTCTGAGTGGGCTGCATCATTTCACAGCCCATCTGCTGCCGACTATTTTCTCCATCGACCTCCTCCTTCCGGAGATCCTACCTCCTCTTTGTTTTCTCCACACAAACTTCTGAAATCTCATAGAATGACCCACAACTCAGCTTCATTTGAACAGGACTTGATTGGACAAACATTCTGGTTGAAAACCCAACGTACGTGAAGAGTTTGTGTAACACAGTGTTGCCCAAATTCCAGGCACTTGATGCCATGGTTCCTATTTAATTACTTGAGTCTTCATCCGTCATGAGTATTATTAAAATTTTCTTGCTGAAGATTTACAAGGAAACCTGACACCACCATCAGGAATCGGAAACCAGTGCCATACTTTGACACACTGACGATAACCATAAAAAAAAATACAATGAAAAGAGAACAAGGTGACAAATTCTCAGGTGAATAGGATGGCAGGGAGCTGAAACAGGAGTAAAACACACTGAGTGAGACTTCCCATGATGCTCAGGAGGTGTGAGTGAGAACTAAAAGAACAGCTTTCCCGTTGATAAGGTCCAAGAATCTTAGGGTTAGGTCATGTGATGTCCCATTGAATAGAAGTGGAAACTGAGGCATAAGAATTCAGAGGTCTTGACTGACACCCCAGGTTCATGGCTTTGCCAGTTGGTTGGGTATGAGGGATATCTCAAGGTCTTGGGGCCAGGTCCAGCTGGTTCAGCCCCCAGGTCAGGAAGGCAACCCCAGGTGTGAGTCAGGGTGAGGTCAGAGGCCCCAGGGAATCCTGGGGTGGGCTGGGGCAGTTTCTCCAGGGTGCTGCAGTCTGTTGAAAACATTCCTAGCCGGTGGCATCACAATGCCTGCGTGGGCAGCTGTGTCTGGAATGTGCTGTCAAGAGTCTGACAGGCCTAGGAGTCTGGCCTTTCCAGCACAAAGGTCTGAGCTAATAGAGAAATGAAAGCCTGAGCCTCTGAGGCCTGATCCCAGAGCTCCTGGAATCTGGCCCCCGAGGACCCCCCAGTCTTGCCTCTGCTTCCTCTCCCCAACACCCACCCTGCACAGGTTCTTGCAACACCCCCTGCTTGTTCCTGCTTCCAGGCCTTTGCACTTGTTCTGACTTCGGCCTGCAAATGAGTGCAGATGTCTTTACTCTTGTCTTTCACATACCAGCTGGTCCCAGACCAGGTGCTTGTGTCCCTCTGCCTCAGTTTCCCCCCCATCATTGTAAGTGGGCATGTCTTCCTAGTCTGACTACTGCTTACCTTTGAGTGGTAGCATCTTGGAGGCCAGGGCTAGGAAGCTCCAGGCTTGAGGGATTATCTCTATCAATCATCTCAGTTTAGCAGGTCAGTTCCTGCCCTACTCTGGCCCTGACCTTGGGGGCTTGGGCAAAGTGGAGAAACGGAGGGCAGAAAAGCACACGAAAGAAATGTCCTAAACACATCTATATGGGAGTCAGACGCATCCGGGCTTTCATTCCAGTCTCCCTAATGTTCGTATTGTGCAACTTCAGGTGACTACATGGACGGCTTTGAACCTCAGTTTCCCTCACAATAAACTAGTATCTGCTCCAAAGTAGCGGTTGGATCAATGAGGACCGCGACAAGAACCTCTAAATAGTTGAGCGTGTCGTTGCAAAAACCAAAAACCCAGATTTGGGTCCTCCCCGAGACGGGCTCAGAGTCACTCACTCACCTGCAGAGATTGCCCTAAACAGCCATCCCGCTCTTCCTGACAGTTCTGACGCCGGGGGCCCGTTGCCCGCTGGGAGTTGTAGTTCGGCCCCTACGCTTCTGCCTGCGCTGTCCCTTCGCGGCTGCCGTCCGCCATGGAACTACAACTCCCAGCAGGCGGCGCAGGCGCGGTGCGGTGGGCCGCGGGGCCGCGTGCGGCATGTCGGCGCTGCGCTGGAGCCGCGGCGCGGCGGGACTCGGCTGGGCCTTACGGCCTGCGGGCCGCCCCGGACTCCCGGCGGAGGAAGGTAACGCGGCAGAGGCCGGGGGCGACCTCGCGGCCACGTCCCCTCTCCTCTGCCCCTCCCGGCCCGTGCCGGCAGCCGCCGCCGGGAGCGTGACCTCTGACTTCGGCTCCAGGAGCCAGCTATCCCCGAGCTTTGCCTTTTTGTGATTCTTGGGGACCCACCCCCTGCACCCCGTCTTCACTCGCCCTTGACTCGCTTGCCCTCCCGACGGGGGCCTGTGGAGCATTTTGACCTTTGATTCTTGGTTTCTTTTGGAAGCTCCCGGCATTTAGGACTCTTGATCTTTGAACTTTAGTTGGGGGAACTTTTCTGCCCGACCCCACCCCCCGATATTCTTACTACGTAGTGACCCCTCACTTTTGAGGGGGTCATGATTTCTTCCAGTGAGAGCATGACCTTTGACATTGACCATCGAATTCAGGACTCCTTTGCCTCAGGGTTCAGGATTTTTGCGCTCGACAGCACGTGTAACCCCGACAGCCTCATCTCTCCCGCAGGGGCCCTCCGCAGTTTCTGTGGCCGAAGAAGCAACTCCACTGCCCACCCTTGTGAGCAAGACCCCAAGAAGGACTGGGGCCACGCAGAACTCCTGGAGGGTGAGCCTGACCCCCGGGCTTGGGACCCGAAATCTTGCTCACTGCCCCCCCCCCCAACAGCCAGCCACTCTGCTGGGGCCACCTCCTGATTCCACGGAAAGGGTGTTGATCTGAGAAATGGGGTGACTTGGTGTGGGTTCCACACGTGGCCAAGAGGGCCTGCTGAGACGCCCGAAGTGTGAGACCTCTTGGTGGGTGCTGAGCCCCTGTGGCATGATGTAGGCGGGGGACACTTACAACTCCACCCCAAACCCACCAGGTTCCCTCAATTTCTGAGTAGTTGAGACCCAAAATTATGGTTGGGCAGACTTGTCCCAGGACATAGGCAGCTGCACACGCAGAGCTAGGCTTTGGGCCCGGAGCTGACCCGCTTGACCCCCTCCTGGGATCTGGGTGACTGATGGGGTACCGTCCCTGGCCTTTCATCTTCGGAAAGGGTGGCGTGGTCCTGATGACCTCACCAGCTGGCAGCCTCAGGAGGAGGCCGGGCATCTGTCCTGTCTCTCTTCCCCACCTCCTTCCTTGGAGACCACTCCCCTCTGCACCTGCAGCGGGGCTGCAGGGGGCTGGTGAGCCCTTAGAAAATAAGTTTCTTTCAGAAAACTCAGATACAGAAGTAAAAACTCAAGTTTCAGCAGCAGCCTGTCTTTTCTAACCATCTGATTGTTTTAAAACAAACTCCAGGTACAGCACTGAGCTGGAGGAAGGTTCTCGAAACCTCAGTCACGTCAAGTGGCCTTAGCCAGAATCCTCCACCCCGTGCCCTCCTCCAAAGGACGCAGGCCCTGTGCCCTCCTCCAAAGGACGCAGGCCCTGTGGCTCCGCCAGGAGGAGCTGTGGCCTCTTGGGCTGTGGCCCCTGCTGGCGCCTTCTCAGCTCCCAGGTCAGCTCAGGTGTCACAGCCACGGGGAGCGCAGGGGTCGACCAGCGCCCTGTGCCTGCTCCCTGTCACGTCTGCGGGGCTTCCCTCTTCCACGTGACAGCCTGGAAGCCATCCTTTCCCATGCCGGGGCTCCGCGGCCCGCTTCAGCACCTCCTCTGTCCTGTGCTGAGGCCAGCCGAGGTCGCTTCTCAGTTAGAGACGCAGGCACAGGCCAGACAGTCCATTCTCCTTATTCCTGGGTTCAGTTTGTAACCCCAGTCACTACTGAAGGCACTTTAGATCGCTACCTGAGAGCTGTTTTTTCCAGCTGCAGTCCAAGCAGGCCTCACTGCCTGGGGTCCTGCCCAGACTGTTGCCAGGCCCTGGTTAGTGCTGCACGTTTTGGTGTCTTGTGTTTGTGGCTGATTTTGCTCCTCGCAATGGCCCCAAGAGCAGTGCGTGGTGCTGCCAGCATCCCGAGTGCGGGAAGGCTGTGACCCTTGGGAAGGAGCACCCCCGGCAGCGGGTGCCGAGGCCCGCGGCCATTATGACCGCGCTGGGTGAGCCAGGAGGTCGGGCTGGTGAGGCCTGGCGGTGGGGCACCAGGTGCCTTGGCGGCAGTGCCCTGGGGCGGGGGCGAGTGGCAGAGGCTGGCCTGGAAGGACAGCGCAGGGGGGAGCAGGTTTGGGGCACCAGGACTCGTTTGGGGTATTGAAAGCCTGGAGTGGAGAGGTGCTAAACAGGTGGGTGAGTGCCGCACGCCGAGGCATCGTCAGCAGCTGCAGCAGCCAGTGAAGTCCCGCACTAGCCCCTGTGGGGTCCCTGACATCTTCGCTGTCCCCACAGTGCTCGAGGCCCGGGTGCGGCAGCTGCAGGCCGAGTGTGTGTCGGAGGTGACCGTGAACAGGGTGGGTGTGGCGCGGCTCCAGGAGGGCGGCATCCTCCAGGCCTCCAGGAAGACCCAGATGGGTGTCGGGGGTGCTGCCCCGGGGCTCAGTGGCCGCTGGGCACAGAAGCTGGACAAGGAGAAGCAGAAACAGCAGAAGCAGATGAGGAGCAAGTCTCAGGAGCAGGCCTCGGTGCTGGCGCCCGGGCTGCAGCTGCGGCTGAGACCCCGGCTGCGTGACAAGCAGCTGTCCAGCTGCCTGCAGCGCTGGGTGAGCGACGCCGCCGGCCGCCCCTGGGAGGAGCAGCTGGCACAGCTGCTGCAGGACGCCCCGCGGAAGCTGAGCCGGGAGGCAGAGGACGAGCCGGCGGACGCGGCCGCCCTGGCGCGCCTGGAGGCGCAGCAGCACAGGCTGCTGTCCTTCTTCGAGTGCTGCCTGCTCTCCGACCACCTGCCCCTCGCCCACCACGTGCTGGCCGCCCAGCACAGCAAGGTCCGGCACCCGCGGCTGCTGACGCTGGCCATGTACAACACTGTCATGCTGGGCTGGGCACGCAAGGTGAGCGCGCGTGGGTGGGAGGGGTCCCCGCCCCCGCCGCTGGCCGCCCGCTGCCGGCCAGTCGCTCAGCTGGATCCTTTCTCAGCCTTAATCCCAAGGCCTCCGAATGTTACTTTCACTAATAACTTGAGTTTTGTCAAACACAAGTCGCAGGTGGCCCTCAGTTGTGCCCCCAAGCAGGAGCGGCTCAGCGCCTTTCCTCTCACGTTGCTGAGATTGCGGAAAGCCCCCTGGAGGTGGGCGGCACGCTCGTCTTGGCGAGGAGCATTTCTGCTGCCCACAGCTCAGCACTTGACCTGTGGCTGCTCCCACCGAGGAGCTGGGTGCTTCATTCAGATACAGCCGTGCGTCCTGACCACCAGGTCGGGCGGGGCCGCCCCGCCCCGTGCAGCCCTGGGTCCCCGGGAGCACGCAGGGCCTCGGTGGGAGGCTGTGGGTCCCCCCGGAAGGCTCCGTGGCAGCGTCCAGGCCGGGGAGTTGCCGTGTCTGGGTGGTTGGGCACGGTTCCCCGCCAGGGACAGCACGCTCGGGGCACCCGGTGGGCACAGGAGACACCGCCCAGCCACGCCACTCCCGGGAGGCAGCTAGGAGAGAGGCTGCTGGCGCGAGGGCGGGGTGCAGACCGGAGCTGGGGCCGGCGCGCCCCGGGCGGACTCGGATGCCGAGGCCGCCTTCGCAGCAGGTCGCCGCTGTCCGTGAAGTAAAACACGCCGCGTTCCCTCCCAGAGCCGCTCGGCTCGTGGCCACGCGCCGGGGTCCCCCACAGGCCTCTGCCCCGCCTCGCGTGGTGGCTGCAGCTGGAGGGGCCCGGCGCCCCGCCTCACGCCGCGCCCGCCTGTCCCCGCAGGGCTCCTTCAAGGAGCTGGTCTTTGTGTTCTACATGGTGAAGGACGCCGGCCTCACCCCGGACCTGCTGTCCTACGCGGCTGCCCTGCAGTGCATGGGGCGGCTGGACAAGGATGCCCGCACCATCCAGAGGTGGGTGTCAGCGCGCCTCGCCCCACACAGCCACGCGCCCCGGGCCGCGCCGGGG